TTGTAAGTTCCCATACTTGAAACTAGTTGTAAGTTATCATACATTGGTCTAGTTGTAAATTCTCATACATGGATCTAATTTAAGTTCCCATACTTGGGTTTAATTGTAAGCTTCCCATACACGGGTCTAGTTGTACGTTCTCATACATGGGTCTAGTTGTAAGTTTGCATACAGTACATGGGTCTAATTGTAAGTACTCATACATGAAACTATTTGTAATTTTCTCATGCATGTGTCTAGTTGTAGGTTCTTATATGTGTGTCTAGTTGTAAGTTCTCATACATGGAACTAGTTGTAACTTTCTCATACATGGATCTAGTTGTAAGTTCTCATACATGGGTTTAGTTGTAAGTTCTCATACATGGATCTAATTGAAAGTTCTCATACATAGGTCTAATTGTAAGTTTCCCATAGATGGGTCTAGTTGCACGTTTTCATGCATGGGGCTAATTGTGAGTTTTCATACATGGGTCTAGTTGCGAGTTTTCATACATTTGTCTAATTGTGAGTTTTCATACATGGGTCTAGTTGCGAGTTTTCATACATGTGTCTAATTGTACATTTTCATACATGGGACTAGTAAGCTTTCACACATGGGTCTAATTGTAATTTCTTATACAAGGGTATAACTGTAAGTTCTCATTTTCCGGTATCTTCTACCAAGAATGTCTCAACCCTCAATTGTTCATATATAGGGGTTGATTTACTAATACTGGAGAGTGCAAAATCTGGTAAAACAATCAGTTTCCAGTTTTTTTGCCAAAGCATAACTGAACAAGCTGAAGTTAGAAGCTGATTGGCTGCCATACACAGCTGCACCAGATGACTGCTCCAGTTTTAGTAAATCTCCTCATTTATTACCAACTATTGACCTATGAACTCTGAATTACTTACTACTGACTCTTGCACTTTGCTTTTCCTAATACTGACCCCTGAACTCTGTTACTCCAGAACTCTGGACCTTGTGTTATCACTGACCCCTGCACTTTGTAGTACTTACTACTGGCCTCTGAACTCAGCATTATCTTCTACTGACCTTTGCACTCTGTACTACTTACTATTGACTTCTGAATTCTGCATTACTACTGATCTCTGAACTCTGCATTACTACTTACCTCTAAACTCTGTGTTACTACTGACCTCTGCATAAAGGAGTAAGTAACAGAGTTTAGGGATCATGAATAAGTTATGCTGAGTGAAGGATTACGCAACGCAGAGTTCAGAAGTCAGCAGTAACACAAAGTGTAGCGATCAGTAGTAAGTGACACAGAGTGCAGGGATCAGAAGTAGCAGAGTTCAGGGGTCAGGAATAAGTGATGCAAAGTTCAGAGGTCAGTGTTAAGTAACACAGAGTGCAGGGGTCGGGCATAACTAAAACTGAGGGCAAGGGTTAGGAGTAAGTAACACAGAATGCAAGATTTAGGAACAAGTAATGAAAAGTTCCCTTTCTGCAGGACAGTATGATCCTCCCTCACCAAGTAGGTCTCAGTATACAAGTTTTTTGAAAAGTGTGCATACAGTAAAACAAAAGTTGTGCAAAGTCTTACAGTTAATTTTCTGTAACCCTGTCTGTACTGTGAAGACAGATCTTCGTTATCAGTTGTAATTACGATTGAACACTGTCTGTCCTAACAAAGGGTTAAAGGTGTAGAGGCAGGGCGTCTTGCATTGTATGTTAATGAGGACAGACTCACACTAAAGGCCATAGATGGATCGAAATTTGGCCGGTTGAGCAGGGACTAGTGAATTTTGATCCAAGAATGGACAGGCTAGTTGTATTGAAGTTGATCCATTGATTGACTTCAGTACAACCAGCCCAACAGGTTTTTTTTGTTTGATCACTGTCAGCGGCTATAGACACCGGCAGTGATCATTGTATTCTGACAAAAGCTCCATGAGAGGGATGCCCCCATGAACGCTGAATGTGTTGATGCGAGAATCGAGCAATTTTCATTCCTGCAACCCATGGTTGCAGAAATGAAAATTGCTTACTGTAAGGCCTGCTTACCATTGTTCAAAAAGCCTTGCATTTGGCCATGACACCTTGTGCCGGGAAACATCTAATGGTAAGAAATAGTAAATTTTTTGTAGATAATCTGTGTGAATAGGAACACGTAACAAACATATAGTGGGATTTTCTCACATTTGACTCTAAAAGTGGAAAAGCGCATTAAGACTTTAAGCTGTGAACCAGGTGTGTGAAGGTAAAAACGTAAATGTAGTATTTTAACCACATGCCACAACAAAAGTTCAGATTCATCTGTGCAGAATATGTTTCAGATAATCAAGACAATGGATATGACATTTCTGTGTATAATTATAATATAAGAACGAGCGCTGGAATTATAAGTAAGAAGCAGCTAGCATGAAAGGTAAAAACCCCTGAACCTTCTAAAAGACATATATATAAAAAACATGCAGCACTGAATAAAATTCATAACAAAGTAGTAAAAAAAAATGTCAAAATGCCTTTGAGAACGTGCTTTCGCACGAAACATGTCAGGAAGCTGCCCTCAGTGACATACCCACGTGGCTTTCCATATATGGCCCACGGCCATTTTTACTTCTGATCATTATACATTTAGAGCGCTCCTCTTCAAGGATACCATTGATGACAGCTCTAAGCGTTGGCTCCCCCTGGTGTTTATTTGATTGTACTCCAGTTACCTGGTGCGCTGTAATTCCTGCTGAAGCCCACCAGATGATCCTGAGTTCCAGATGCCTAGACGCAGATGACCAGGAGTTGGTCTAAACACTCAAATGCGCTTTTGTATGCGCTATCTGGTTAGTGCAATCTGCATTGACTTACCATACCACCGAAGTCACCGCTGCCAACTAATGATTTAATATTGACTGTCACTTTACGATATACATTTATATGAATCTTTTATATTGCTTATGCATCATAATTATATACGGTACTTACTACTCAATTTTGGGTTATTCACCCTAGAGACGATGATGTTTTTATGATTCACCACCACTGTCACCCTGACATTTTTTTACTACTTTGTTATGATTTTATTCAGCGCTGCATGTTGTATATATATTTCTGTGTATAGCTGCTTTAAGATGGACAGTTTTTTTTTGTTCATCCAGCAGGTAGAACGGAAAGAAAAATGACAGATTCCCAAACTCACATAAGCGAATTGTATGCGGGAATCTTCCCCACTGTGCCATTCTATTCTGACAGCGGGAACTCCCACCACAGAACACTCTGGCTACACTGCAGCCCATTGACTGCAGGCGTTGATCGAATACTGGTTTTCCAACCGAACTGTTTAACAGAAGCCGGTTGTTACCCCCTGTTTTAGGCTAGGTTTACACTTGCAGACTGGTTGCGGGTGAGGAAATCTTGTGGCTTCACAGATGACTTCCTACTTTGCATGTGTGAAGTGTGTTGCGTTTTGTGAATGGGCTGCAGTCCTCTGGGACCTGTTGAGTTTCCCAGAGGGCTCTGGGGGAGGGGGTAATTCCGGCTCAGTATGCCATGGCAAACTGAGCCAAAAGTGGGAAGGGGTAGCTGTCCACACCAGGTACCTGCTCCCCCCTCCTCCCCAAAAGGTGCCAAATGTGGCAGCGAAGGGGGAGGGGGAGGAGGCAACTACTTTTGTGTAGAACTCCGCTTTAAGTACTGTGTATCATAAACTAAATGCCATTTTTTTTAGAAAAAAAAAATGCAGTTTTAAACATTTTCATCCTTACAGTATCTACATCTCAGAGCTGCTGATCTCCTGCAGCCTCTTTGCTGACACTTCCTGTAGTGATGCCTGCATAGTATTTCCTGGGGAGGGTTTTCTGACAGTGACAGGAATAAATCATGCCTGCATACTGTGTGATGAAAAGACCCTTTTTAGTCTCCATTGGAAGCCTAAATGATATTGTGACAATGCAGCAGAACAGTTAGAAGACAGGAATAGGGTTTAGGAAGGGCTTAAGTAATCGGTCACACTGCTGCGATTTAACATCGTGCGATTTGTGTGCAATTTCTGAAGACTTTATTGCTACTTGTGAAGATTTTCAACAATTTCTTGCAATTTTGCAGTGCGATTTCTATTATATTCTATGTATGTGAAATTGCAATAAAACTGCAGAAAAAGTAATGCAAGAACTACTTTAGAAATCGCACTGCAGCAAATCGCAAATGTTAGGACACTGACATTCATTAGATGCGATTTCAATTTTCAAAATTTAGTGCCCAGTCACCGATGTGGACTTTCATGGCAGGAACACAATGTATTATAATAAAAGCAGCAGATTTAAAAATTTTGTAAATGACTTTTGAAACATGAACATGTTAAAGCCTGTATGAGATTGTAGTGATTGGTTTAGGTCTGTTCAAGCACTCAGTATACACTCTCCGGCTCTGTTCCTGCTTTGTGGTCCATCCCTCAGGACTGTTTTCTCTATCTTACTGCCACTCCTCTCCTCTTCTCTGACTGCCAGGGTTATGGATGTGCCAAAAAACAGGAATGTTTCCCAATCTGATCATAAAATGCCTGATCTGGCAAAAGTTCTAGAACTTTTGTGGTCACTTAAAGTATAACTAAAGGAAAATCTGTTTTTTTTTTTTTGGTTTGGAGTTGTGAGGAGTTAGAAGCACTGCCAGGTTTTTATTGCTGTCCATGACCCTAATTGTCCTGATCTCTAATGTCACCAAGAATGAAAGGAAGGGTAATACAAAATTTTGAGTTGCCACTAGAACAGGAAAAGAAGGAAAATCTTCCAATGGATACAGGTGTTCCCATGACAACTATTTCTTGGAAAGGTTGAGTGTCCAGAACAGGAAGTGAAAGAAATCTCCCTAAGGGGATAAAAAAATACAGTGGTTTGAACCCTCCCTTATGCTACCCCCAATGAATAAAAAGAAAAACATTGGGGTTTAGATATACTTTGAATCTGTCAGGGTATCAACAGTAAGTGAGCTGCTACCATGTGTGTCTTCTGATACCAGCAAAACCTTCTTCATTGTTAAAGTGTTACTAAACCCAGAACCCTGCATTCACTATATCTGGTCTCCCACAGTACACAGAACATGGAAATGCAATTATTTTAGTAAATATAAACTGCTAAATACATTTTCTCATCTGCAGTTAGAACAGTCTTGTGACTTCTATCAGTGTCCAGCAGAGCACAGGTTAAAGCTTGTAGGAGGAGTTTCCATTCTCCCCTGATTGTGTTATGAGGCTATATGACCCCTGACCCAGTGTCTGGACAGTACTGATTGGCCCTGTGCTGATCACATGCACCCTGCCAAAGAAAATAAACTAGCCATACACATTAAACTGAGCATGTGCAGGGTGACATTTTTTCCTATATCAGCCTCTTGTATTGCCCTGTTTAGCAGGACACAGACTGGAGAGGGAAGGACAGCACTGTAATCCACTCAGGCTATACTGTATTGCAATAGTTCAACATCATGACGAAGTAATGGTGGACAACAACTTCCCAGAAGCATGGCTGCACCCCCTCTACGGTTGCCACCTCATCCCTTTAAAACCGAACACATATTAATTACACAGGTACTGGGGCAAACTTAATGCAGGTAAAGCACCAAGTGAGTTTAATTACCACCTTAATCAGCCACAGAACCTGTGTAATTAATACGTGTTCGGTTTTAAAGGGATGAAGTGGCAAACCCTAACCCCCTCCCCCTTTCCATCTTTATTTATTTATTTCAGGTACTTGTATCATAAAGGTAGAATGGCTTCTGGAGGACTCGGACTCTGCAGTGACCCATAAGACATGCCCTGGTGCTTCTTCCAGAGTTGTTGCTGGCTCGGTGCGTCTCAACCTAAGTGATCAATTACAATAGCCAGCAGGAAGTTCTATTCTGACCTGTTTAGTGCTAGGCACTGCGCTGTACCTAACACAAAACATGTCAGGATGGAACTTGTTCCTGCTGGCTATTTAAAAAAAAGAAAAAGGAAGATGATTATTTTTTTCATCTAGGCATGCAGCATTACTGTTGCTGGTACAATTGAGGTCTTGGGAGGAGACAAGCTGAGTCAGCACGTGAGATGCAGTTGTGGAGTGTGGAGCCTGATCTTGCCTGGAGCAGCAATTTCATATATTAAAGTGGCTCTAAAGGCCTGAGGTTTTATGCCTTGATGTATTCTGTGCATTAAAGTGGAACTTCACTCTCTCAATCAACCTTGACTATTCTGAATCCTTATGCTGCTAGCATTATTAAGTAGATGGAAATAGATCATATTTGCTTGTTTTAAATTGTTGTTTTACATTTCTTTAGTTACTTCCTAGTGTCCATGCCTAGGCTAATGATGCCATACATGCCAATCTGCATAGAAGATAAATAAGGTTAGGTACCTGGCTTTGATGTCTGGCAGGGGTGAGGGACTATCAAGGACAGAATAACATATCTTCGCCAGGTTGAATGGTCCCATATATGTACTGTATTTTAAACTACTTTCCCACCACCCGATGGTAGTAGTACTGCTACAGGGCAGCAGGGCTGTGCAAAATTACGTATATATACGTGATTTGCATTTCCAGGTAGGGGGTGCGCGGGCCTCCCAACCAGTGCCGCTATTGGCATCCCAGGATATCAATCACCGGGTCCTGACCAGCACTCGACAATTGCTGGGTAAAGCTGACGGGAGAGACCTGTGTGTAAAAACACAGGTCTCTCCCCTGTCAGCATGGACATGATGATTTGTATCTCTCTGCACAGCAGAGGGATACAAAACAGCATGTCTCCTTAGTAAAACACAGCACACATAGTAAAACACACACAGCATAGTTAACCCTTTGATCACCCCTCATGTTAACCCAGCGCCGCATTCCTGCCCAGTGTCAGTACAGTGTCAGTGCTTTTTTGGCCATTTGCACTGATCACTGTATTATCTTGTGTCATGGGCGATGTCAGTGGCAGTTAGTCAGTTCCCACCCAGTGTCAGAATGCCACCACAGTCCCAAGTGTCTATTAGTCACTGATTGCCACCTTATTACTAGTATAAAAAAATCGGAATTATTCCAGTATAGCCTATACACTTATGGGATTTTTTATAGCAAAGACATGTAGCAGAATACATTTTGGTCTAAATTTATGATGAAATTTTATTTTTTTGTTATTTGTTTTTTAGCAAAAAGTAAAAAAGAACACTATCCACAACTTTTGTTGTCTTGTTACCAAAACTGTCAGTCTGATTCTGATTATAGCACAAAAAATAAAGTAGCAGAGGTGATCAGGTAGCGTTTCATACCACCGAAAGAAAGTCTTTTCTGTGCTCACAGCATTCTCTATTTAGTGGTTTACTGTCCTTTTACAGTTTAACATCTTTGCATTTGTGGAAAAAAAATCACTGAGTAACGCAGCGCCTAATTGCATTGCAAAAAATATATCACCTGGTCAGAAAGGGGGGTAAATCCTCTGGAGGAATAAAGTGGCAATGAAGAAACTTAAGTTTACAGTCTTACATTTTAGTATTTTAAAACAAACCACTTGGCATATAATAATGTACCTCATATGAAGGTTGTTAACGTGTGCTGCATGTTGACCATAAGGAAAACATTCACTTTTATCCCAGGGAGTAATTGCTTCAGATAATTCAAAGTGACAATTAAAAGAAAACAAACAAAAAGAAATAAGCTATCCTAGGCATCTGACAATAAAAATGAAACATAAAACATCCCCAACAAACTCTTTATTTTATCAGTTAGCAGAAGTTTAATTTTCTTGACTGTCAGTATTAGCGAATCACTGTTTTCCTGCCAAAAATAATACAACTTTTTGCATTTTCCTGAGTAGAACAAATATAAAATAAAAATGTTATTATGTTGACTTATGAACTCTTTGCATGCATAACCTCTTGGATGTTCTTCTAGAAAGCATTCCTGTTATAATTATACATCTATATAATGCAGACAGTGACCTGAAATAACTTGGTAGGATAATCTGCAAAGTAGTACAAATCTAATCAGAACTATTAGAGTGATATAATTAGATTTACTAATGTACTTGTCTGCTATGCCATATTATTCAATATGCGCTGTAATTGTCACTATTTATCTAGTGTCTAATGTTTTAACATTATATAATTACAGTACCTATACTGCACATTAGTGGTCTCCAAACTGTGGCCCTTTGTCTAGCTTTTTTTGGGACACTATTCTTTCCACTGACATTAACAATAGGGGATAATTCCTCTCACTGTCACCAACAATGGAGCAATATATCCTGCCACTGATCCCAACAGTAGGGTACTATTTCTCCCACTGACACCAACAATGCGGCACTATTCCTCCCACTGACACTAATAATGGGGCACTATTCCTCCCACTGACACCAATGATGGGGCACTATTCCTCCCACTGACACTAATAATGGGGCACTATTCCTCCCACTGATACCAATAATGAGGTACTATTCCTCCCACTGACACCAATGATGGGGTTCTATTCCTCTCACTGCCATCAATAATGAGGTACAATTCCTCTCAATGACACCAATGATGAAGCACTATTCCTTTCACAGACACAAATGATGGGGCATCGATACCAATGCCAGTATATATCTTACTTCCACTGGCCATAGTCTTGCCCCTCTAAAGTCTGAAGGATTGTAACCTGGCCCTTTGTTTAGAAAGTGTGGAGATACCTGCTGTACATTATTGATGAGTCATACTACTACCTGCTTTCTCCTTCTCATTCATTCAGCTGATCATTTTTTTTTTTAAATCATGCACAATAGTACTTTAGCATGATCCCATGACCTGAAATAAAGAATACCACCACTTCCACCATTGTAAGGCTCTGGATTTAGACCTATAGTCCAATGATCAGATCTCTAAAGAGATCTCTATTTCAACCCCAGGGAAACCGAATTATGCAGTATATGTGATTTAAGCCTTTCAAAATAGTACCAGTGACATAAAACACACTCAGTAAAAATGAAAAAGGGAATTAACAATAAATATCTTGGTCACCCCATCTGGACCCCACTGCCTTTTGTTGCTGGTGTAACGGTTTGTACACCATAATACACAGCCCCAAAGCAGGTATCCATCATAATGCTCACAACAGCAAGCACTCATTGGTCAGCCCAAGCCAATGACACCGCTGACCAATAAGAAGCACTTGCCATTGCAAGTATTATGATGGATAATAACTCTGGGGCTGTGTATACAGGTGAAACTCGAAAAAATTAGAATATCATGCAAAAGTTCATTTATTTCAGTAATGCAACTTAAAAGGTGAAACTAATATATGAGATAGACTCATTACATGCAAAGCAAGATGGTTCAAGCCGTGATTTGTCATAATTGTGATGATTATGGCTTACAGCTCATGAAAACCCCAAATCCACAATCTCAGAAAATGAAAATATTACATGTAATCAATAAAACAAGGATTGTACATAGAACAATATCGGACCTCTGAAAAGTATAAGCATGCATATGTACTCAGTACTTGGTTTGGCCCCTTTTGCAGCAATTACTGCCTCAATGCGGCGTGGCATGGAAGCTATCAGCCTGTGGCACTGCTGAGGTGTTATGGAAGACCAGGATGCTTCAATAGCGGCCTTCAGCTCTTCTGCATTGTTCGGTCTCATGTCTCTCATCTTTCTCTTGGCAATGCCCCATAGATTCTCTATGGGGTTCAGGTCAGGCGAGTTTGCTGGCCAATCAAGCACAGTAATCCCAGGGTCATTGAACCAGGTTTTGGTGCTTTTGGCAGTGTGGGCAGGTGCCAAGTACTGCTGGAAAATGAAGTCAGCATCCCCATAAAGCTCGTCTGCAGAAGGAAACATGAAGTGCTCCAAAATCTCCTGGTAGACGGCTGCGTTGACCCTGGATTTAATGAAGCACAGTGGACCAACACCAGCAGATGACATGGCTCTCCAAATCAACACAGAGTGTGGAAACTTCACACTGGACTTCAAGCATCTTGCAGTGTGTGCCTCTCCATTCTTCCTCCATACTTTGGGTCCTTGGTTTCCAAATGAGATGCAAAAGTTGCTCTCATCAGAAAAGAGGACTTTGGACCACTGAGCAACAGACCAGGTCTGTTTTTCTTTAGCCCAGGTAAGACACTTCTGACGTTGTTTGTTGTTCAGGAGCGGCTTGACAAGAGGAATACGACATTTGAAGCCCATGTCCAGGATCCGTCTGTGTGTGGTGGCTCTTGATGCACTGACTCCAGCCTTACTCCACTCCTTGTAAAAGTCCCCAATACTTTTGAATGGCCTTTTCCTGACAATCCTCTCCAGGCTGCGATCATCCCTGCAATCA